ATGCGAAATGATATCAACTGGCTCCATATTTGGCACTCCCTCAGGGTTTATGAGTGGTACACCGACCCTTATGCCGTTGTTTTTTCCGAATCCCTCACTGTCATGAGCAGGTGTGTTTGTGTGCTAGACATATCTTAGCCTGAAATCAAAGAATCTTTGACAAGAAAAAATGTGAAGAATAACGTGTGTTATCCGAAAACTAGCACTAACATAATACTATTATCCTTAGCCCCACGGTGGGCGCCAAACAGTTTATCTCGAAAAATGTGAGTAACAATTAAATATGATTTGTGATTTTAAAGATATGTAATTTATTCCAATACTAGTGAATGTACAAATAATATTAAGTTTAAGTAAGAAGAATTGATGAACCAAACCAATGTTCTTAGGGCAATAAGGACCTCGAGCTCGATTATCTTAGGGGCCTCGAGGTGAACTAAGAACAATAAAGTAAAGACAATAAAGGTGAAGAACAATTGTTGAGCACGTTAAACAAGAAAAGCAGAGTAGAATGATCTATTGCAGAGAATGAGATATGCTTTACAAAGATTGGGGTCCCTTTATATAGAAGGGGAAAACCCTAATATGGTACATTTCCAATTATGGTAAAGAATTCTATTGGTACAGCTGTATAATAACCTAGTACGGACTTGTACTATTTCCTACAAATCTTATCCTACAATTTATGCCCTGACCCACGTGTCCTTGAAAAATTCTCACTCTTTCTTGAGTGCCCTCAAAATTGTACTGCCCTCGAGGAAGATCATGACGGGTCCTCCATTTGCTTCTCGAGGTGTACTCATCCGGCCTCGGCTTGATTCTTACTTCGAGCTTCCAGAACTCAGACCCGAAGTGTAATCTAACTATAGAAATCGAGCTCTTCGATTTCCACCGTATACATGGGCTTTACAAGCAAATGATCTCCCTAGGCCGAATAGGCGAAAACCTTATGATGGAAAGATGCAATATATTGTAGAGGAATTTTTATAAAGTACTATAGTTTAGAATCTAATTATCATACCTACCTATTATTTGTGTAATTACTGTTCGTAATTTATGTTTTGTTTTAGTTTGTTTTGTATCACTTGTATGCATTCGCTCAATTTCGCTATATCATACAGTCGCGCTAGATACAGTTATGATAGGCCATATGAATTTGCTCAATTTCGGTGAATCAAAGCATACAATTGCGCTGGATATAGTTCCGCTAGATAAGTCACTATTGTATGTGTTCGCTCAGTTTTGCTATATCAGCGGATACAACCACGATAAGCTGTATGTGCTTGCTCAATGGACTGTATTTTTTCTTATACAACGAAATACATAGTAGATACATACAAAGAAGAAAAAGAGAAGATGACTCGGGTTTTTCTATATCAACGCATATAGTCACGATAGCCTATATGTTCTCGCTCAATAGATTGTATTTTTTCTCTCATACAACAAAATACAGTGTAGATACATAAAAAGAAAAAGAAGAAGAAGGCTCAGATCTATACATACAACATACAGTGTTTCGCCATTAAAGATACATACAATATACAGTGGTCGAAGAAGAAGATAACCTAGATCTATGCATGCTATTCTCTTTCGCAGACAAAGAAATACAGTAAAGATACATACAAAGAAGAAGAAAAAGACTACCCAGATCTATACATACAACATACAGTTAGCTCCCAAAGCCGCTCCATCATCGAATTATCGCTTCATCGGTAACTTTTTTCTCCTCTTCCGGCTCTAAAACTTGCTTCATCTTCTTCTTATTAAACTCACCGTAGCCGGTGAAATTAGCACAATCGATTTCTCTGCCGTCGAATTGCCTCTTCATTTGATAGATCTGAATAAGGGAAACAAAGGATATAAGAAGTGTCCTTTTTTTCCCTCGATTCGGCGGGGTTACTTGTTGGCTGTTTGCTATAAAATCCAAAGTGTAGCTACGAATTCTAATTATTTTAAAGTGCATTTATGTATGATAAATATAGTATAAGTTAGTTACACTATGTATGTTTTCCTAAAATGTAGCATAATGCAATAAAAATAAGAGAAATTTTCATAAAGCGCTATCTTTTAGTAGTAATTAGCCATCAATAGATACCATTTGCTATATTAAGAATATAGATACCTTTTCTGTGGTTATAAGATGTATTTGATGTATTTAAGCTATTGTATTCATGAATACAGTAGCAAAAATAGGCGTGAATCAGGGAAGTCCAGCTAATCAGTTGTTGTATTTGAGTGTATTCGACTGTATTCATGGAGTGAAATATGGGATTACAGCTAGACAGGTTGTTGTATTCGACTGTATTCGACTGTATTCACGGCGTGAAATAGGGGATTACATTGCTCCCAAACGCACACACAAGTATACGTGGTCGACAAGTAATATAGGATTGTAAGTCCAGATATCGTACCCACGGGGACTTGTGATTAACTATCAACTAAATTAAACCAAACAATTAATCTATTCAATCGAATCCTAACGTATGAATATTTAACTAAAATTAATCTACAGTAACAAATTAAGAGATTAAAGAAAACAAGTTGGCGAATTATAGAGACAAATTCAATGTGAGTGAATATTCTAGAGCTATGGGTTAGCTAACAATCCCGTTGAGTTTTTCACTTAAATTGTCTAATTAATTTATCTAGTTTATTGATTGACGGGGTTAGTATTGCTCGTAGCCTTCTCCCGAAGTATAACTCGCCTATTCAAGCTAACCTAACGCCTATATTCCTATGGAATTAGAATTAACAAGAACGCATTTATAATTCCCGTATAATAACCAAGCAAGGCGATTAGGTATATTCCTATCCTAACAGCAAATCCGCTCTCCCTAAGAGTTAAGATCTTGCTCTACTCAATCTTATATGCAATCTAGAATTCCCTCTCCCGAGTTCAATCCTAAATTCGTAGATAGTATTCAATTGGTGATCAAGCAATCAAATAATTAAGCGCAAGATTGAATAAATAAATCGATATGATAAAATAATAAGAACAATTCAAGCTTCAAACTACAACGTTCATGTAGCACCCAAAACTCTAGAACAAAGAAACTATGAAATTAAAGGAAGAGAAGAGAAGAAAAACTAGTTAGAAGCCTCCTCCAAGCATGGTGTGTGTTCCTCCACGTGAAACTCCCTTAAAAGTATGTTAGCTCTCCTCCAAATTAGGTTTATAACCCATTATATACGAGTTGGGACCGTGCAGGACTGAAATAACCTTGTCCCGAACAAAATAGGAGAATACCCGCAACACAGCGTCCAGGCCAGCGCCTAGCGCGCTGAAAACAAAATGCTTTTCACGTCTCCAATTCTTCAATCTTTCTTTTGAATTCTAATTTTCTCTTTTGTTGTGTCCACTTGGGGGGACAAAAACCAAAGGGGGTCCCCCCTTTGTTTCCTTTCTTATTCTTCCGCGTTTTATTTAATTTTGCTCCAAATCTTTTGATCTTCACATCGCTTTATTCCTACACAGTTAAAATATAATATTAAGCAAAAAATAATATAACTAATACTCAAAAGACGATTAAAAGTATTAGTATATGAGGCAACAATGGGTAAATATATGTATTTTTGGCCGAACAACAACTACATTATTTTTAAAACGGAAAGTGAATCAATTAACATAATAGACTCCTAATATAACTCAACAAACTCAATTATAACACACAAATTTTGTATTTTTCAGTTATAAAAAAGATTCTCAACCGCAAAATACTCTAAAAACATAGCAATCTTCAGAGAAATTATATAATACATCTGAATACATAAATTATATTAATTAAAAAAGGGATATGAATACATTCATGGCATATAGCGAGACAATGAATACAATGAAATAGATAGAATACAGAGGGATACATTGAAATACAATGAGAAAAAAAGACACTGAATACAATGAAATATATGGAATACAACGAGATACATTGAATTACAATGAAAAAAAAGATAGTGAATACAATGAAATACATAGAAATACAGCGAGATACATTGAAATGCTCTACACAAAAGAGCAAAATCAGAACAAATCTTATTGAACGCTGTAGCTAATTGTCAATACATTATTGACCCAAAAATTTCAGAAAGCATCAGAAGAATTAGCCAATCTAGTATATCCAGGCTCTGTTGCCAAAGCTATATCAACGTTAATTGTTAGAACACTATATTGACCCTATTTTTTTACAAAAAAAAATAATAAAAAATCATAAGAATTAGCCTATGTAGTATGCCCATGTTCCGGGGCCAACAGTGAGAAGATATCGAACTGCTCCTCATCTTGCATCAATAAATCAAATTCAAAATCAACATCAGCAGGATTATTTTTGTTCCCAAATAGCCCATTGGAGCAAGGTTGTTCAATTGGACCAAGTTCAAGTTGTTGCAGTCGTCAGATGCGGGAGCTGGAGCAATTTCTGAAGTGGGCTTTGCACAAATCCGGTGGAAGGAGGAGGAGATCAGAAATTTTAATGGGATGCTGGAAGAGAATGGGATGTATCAAAGTAGAGAGAGAAAGAAAATAGTGCAACTGATTGGCGTATTTAGTGGCTTAGGGCTAGGAGGTAACCAAAATTAAATATTTTGCTATAAACCTTAAAAGGTATCTATAGAATATAATTTTTTTAAATTGTATTTATTTAAAATAAATAAGGTGTTAACCTTTGTTATAGGAGGTAAAAATTCCTAAAAATAAAGGGAAATTAACTTGAATAATCGCCCGTCCAAAACAACGTCTTGATTTTCCAAAAAGACTAGATGTTGGGTTTCCTTGTGATCAATGACTACGTAATACATATCTTTTACATATACTTGTATCACTTAATAGTTAATCACAATAATTAATATGTATTTTCATATCAAACTACTATTTACCCATAGTAACTTGATATGTTTAGTATAAATATTAGGTGCGAATAAGTTTTATTCCATAATTATTCATAGATAGCTTATATCAAAAATTAAAACGAGTGTGTCAAAATGCCTCCAACACTATCGCAGCGCTATAGAGAAGATTTCGTATATCAAAAACATTATAACTTTCATTTATTTACAATCACAAGTTAGACCCTTACTTCAACTCCATACTTTAGATACAATATTTATATATAGATACTTAATTATTTCAAGCACAATTCTTCATACAGAAATTTATTTGCTCTTACTATGAACAGCCATACGAGAATTCTTGATAACCACTATTTTGTTCTCCTTGTTGCCTTTTGGAGAATAAACAACATACTTATTGCTTGATTTTGGAGAGGGTGGCCATTGTCCACAAGCCACAGCCATGTCCTTTAGTGGTTGAAGGCTTTCTAAAGTTTCAATAATTGCTGGCATTTTGGGCCTGTCCTTTGGGTTTAAGCTTGTGCATTGTGAAGCTAAATGGGCCATTTCTTTTGCTCCTTTTACTGAATATTGTCCACCAAGTCTAGGGTCCATTATGCAACGCAATCTTCGACTACTTGACAAATAGGGCCTTGTCCAATCGACTAAGTTTTGTTCATTCTTTGGTCTTGTTTTGTCCATTGCTCTTCTTCCTGTTACTAGTTCTAGCAAGACCACTCCAAAGCTGTAAATGTCGCTTTTGGTTGTAAGATGTCCTACATCACAAGTGGAGCATGAAAAAGTTAGCATCTACTGTAAATTTTGTTGCACTTGATATTTGCGCCAAATAAAAGAACGCACATGTCTACAAAAGACGTCTTTTTGTGGATCATAATAGTACCTGTGCTAACATATTCAGGGGCAGCATATCCATAAGTGCCCATTACTCTAGTAGTAACATGAGTGTTTGATCCTTCTGGGCCCATATGTGCAAGCCCAAAATCTGATAATTTAGCAGTAAAGTCCTGAAATTATAGCATAGAAGCTATTAGCATATTAAAATCTTTTTATTAGTAAAACAAACTAGTTGTTAAAGTAAAATAAAGAAGTTAATAAAAAAGGGTAGATTTAGAGATGTACATACAGAATCCAGTAAGATGTTGGAGGTTTTAAAGTCACGGTAAATAACAGGTTTTTCAGCGCCATGTAAGAAAGCAAGGCCTTTGGCTGCTCCAATTGCTATCTTCAATCTTGTACCCCATGGCAGTGAGTTTGATAGCCCTGCAATTTGTTGGAAATAGTAATTCAAATTACTCATCGGTATTCACTAAAGAGTCAAATCATGATTAGACAAAACCGTTATAACTATGCCTTATGGTCTATTTTAAGTAACTTCTCGGGTCACCTAATATTGAAAATGATAAGGAATTATTTTTCTTGTTGGGGCTAAAAAAGAAAAGAAAAAGAACTTACTCTTAAAGAGATGATTTTCAAGGCTGCCTCTAGGCATGAATTCATAAACAAGAAGGCGTTCTTCATCCTCGCAACAGTATCCAATCAATCTTACCAAGTTTTGGTGTCTTAGCTGTCCTAGAAATATTACTTCCGCCTATCAACCAAAAACACACTTAATTAAAATATTACTTCCGCCTATCAACCAAAAACACTCTTAATTAAAATTAAATAATTTAAAAAACAAACAATAATTATACAGAAAAGTAAACACAGAAAAAACAAAAGATTTTATATTAGGCTTGGACTTCTTAGCTTTAACTTGCTGATGGTGTTCGACCCCATAATTATGAAGACCTTTTAAAAAAATCACCAATAATTTAACACAACCATGTGGACCCCAATAAAACTGTGAAGTCCAAGCTTATAGACTGCAAAGTCAAGGATTTCAAGTTTGTTTGTTTGTTTTTTTTTTTTTTTTTTTTAAGAGATCCTGTCTCTTCATATTTCATAAAATAATTGTCATCAGTAAAACAGTATTTTCCTTAAATCAATACCATAATAGAAAAAATATAATTTGAAATTTCGACAATTTCTACAATATACTTGAAATTGCTAAGGAAAAGAAGAAGAAGAGGAAATAGGTAATTTTACCAGCCATTCCCTGTGGCCTTGAAGTCCTTCAATATTAAGAAGCTTAACAGCAACAGCTTGAGATTTCAAAGCAGCCCTCAAATTCTCATCAACATAACCTTTATGCACTGTCCCAAAACCACCTTCACCAAGCAAGTAATTAGTCGAGAAATTCTGCGTTATGGCACGCAGTTCACTCAGCTGAAAATCAAACAAGTCAGATCCAAATGATTGTGCTAGATCCTCATTAATCCTAGTTGATGATGATCTGCTCAAATCCGAGAATGACAACCTACGAAAAGATGGCAATGGAGCTATGTTCTTTGAAAAATCCGATTTCGACGTCTTGCACCTGCTAAAATTGCCAAAAATTGTTTGATCTTCGGCAGAACAGCAGTTTGCTGTAAAGGGTCTCCAAGATTTTGAGTCCTTCATGATTTGGTGAGGAAAAATGATGGAGAAGTTGATGAGAAATATAAGAAGGAAGATATGAGGATTAGATAAAGGTAATTAATAATAAAGATAAAATAATTGAGGGTTTTTTAATTAGTTTAATCTAGTATACGTACAATTTAGTTTTCCTTGATTATCCACAATGAGGTAAAGACATTCTTTCTGTAACTGCTCCAACCACTCTGCTAAATAAGGTATTGTTGTTCTAATCTTTTTTCTATGGGATTGTTTTTGTTGCTTGATTTGTCAACTACGTACTTGTCTTCATGCAAAAAAGGTGTCCATTTTGTAACCAAAGAATTGGCAACAAATGTCACCTATGCCGACTTGACTTCGGGCGAATCAAATTGAAGAAATTGTGTACTTTTCTGGTGTAAAAATATATGTGCAAATATCATTTCATAGGTGGTTTGGAAAAAGTATGATAAAGAGAACTAAAGTTTGAATTGGAGATCAAAGAAAACTGAAACGTATACAAAACACTTGTAAAAGAGATGCTATTTGCTCTACTTGATATACACAAATGGTGTGAAGAATATCTCTACTAGCATTTTAACTTATGGTACTAATTAATGTCTAATATTTTTAGTTACTAATATTATTTTCTATGGACGACTATATATTTAGCTATTTTTTTTTCCACACAATTAGTATATAAAAGTTAAATTAGTTGTCTTCTAATGTTTTATACTTCAATACCACACAAGAGGGGGGGTGATTTGTATGGTGTCCAATTTATCGCTTAAGTTGTTTATGGAAGGACCTGGTTCTTCTATGTGTTCCAACTACTACTGTTGCGGAATAATAAATACAGAAATTAAAGAACACAAATATTTTACGTGGAAAACACCTGGATCAAAAGGTGAAAAAATCACGACCTACTTTCCAGCAGGATTTTTCCAAACTCTCCACTAAAATCACTAAGCCAAAAACTGCATTTATAAAACACTTTTGTAAACCTAGGATTAACTCTGATCCCGTTGTAGCATACAGCCTCAACTGTTGCGACAACTTCAAGTTAACTCTAACTTGAAAACTCTGAGTACCTAATACAATTGCTTCTAAATAAAGCTGAAAGGTACAATATGAAATCACCTAGTACAATGAACTAGAATAAAAGATAGATACTTGGAACTGGTTCTTCTATCTGGTTCAAGTAGCTTCAGGTTTGCACGCTTGAATCACACACAAATTGCTTACAAAATTGCCTCGCTATTTTGCTCTCAATTCACGTTTAACTTCTGTTTATGTGCGTTACCTGTAAAAGAGAACAACACTGATATTTATGGAGTTAGTAAACAGAGATTGACTAGAATTCTGATGCTACTCTTCCTTGGTGGAAGAGCTATAGTTGATCTCAACTTCTAACTCATTCCCTTTCTTAAACCGTGTTTTCTTTGAGTAAGGAGTCTTTCTCCTTATCCAGTATGCAACCTTTTCGATCAGGATCAGGAAATATCACTTCTGGTAAGTTAGGTTTATCTCCTTCACGTGCATCTCACATGCTTGAGTTGACCGAATCTGTGCTTCACAAGGATGGACCTGGTCCATGTCTGAGTTCCTTTGTCAGTCTTCAAAATCCACCTTTACTTGGGCCAACAAATTCCTCCTTTTTGATGATGACAAACTCTGTGCTTTCCTTCACTTAGGCCCTGTCAGAACTCAGCTCAATCATCAATGCAAAGTTAGAATTTTTTTTTTTGGTGAAATGAGAAATCTTTATTAATCATCTGCACAGAAACTTACAAGAATTCATTTACAAGAATTCCCTCCCTTTTCATCCCCTTCCTATTCTATCTTCTAACCTGTGTTTACATATCTTTCCTGTCTATTCATTAAGCAAATTACAGTATCTCTTTTATCCACAACTTCTGTCTTCTCGATGTAGTCCTTCGTTCCATGATTACATGTATCTTCATCCTGCATTCTTCTTTAATAGTGCTTACTATCTTTTGAGGTCTGAGCACTTGTTGATTCCACAAAGCATCATTCCTGACTTTTCATATATGATAGATTGTTGCTGCCAATATTGTGCTTACAACTGATCTGCATGCTTTGCCCCTTATGTTCCTTGTCATTCTTCTCCAGATGCCTCCTATTCTGAATTGCTGCAGTCTTATATTCAACCATTCTAATATCCCATTTAGACATGGACCATGTTCATTAGGTTATAAATATCACTTTTTCAGAATATAAAGCACAATATCTTTTCCTCCTTTTGGCTTCATCGTAAAGTTGCATAAACAAAGTGTTATCCCCAGAATTTTAAAAATTACTCATGGCCACTGGGGCAACTGCAAGTGCAATCATGGATCAATCATCAGTAATCAACCACACATATTCAAACTATCAAGGAAAGATAAACAGTCAACAAGAGCAAAAGCAGCAAACATCATTGATAGAGAATATGATTTTGTCACAATCCACAAAAAGAAACAAAAACAGTCAAAACATGAGCAAAACAAGAAAAATCCCTAATCTGGGTCACTGAAAGGTCTAAACAAAGTTCAAGAAATGAAGGCTAAGGAAATTAAGGCTTGGAAGAACTAGAGGGTTGGGTTTTGGCTTGGAGAAGGTACAACATGTCTTGAAGAATGCCATCATTCTTTTCCTTTTCCTTTGTGATCTCAGTTTTGAGGGCATCTCTTTCAGATTCAACCTCTGCCAAACGAGTTTTCAGCCAAGCCATATCAGCATCCTTTGCCCCACTCTCCTGCAATAGAGCTCTGACCTTGCTATTGATAGATGTCTTTTTAGATGACCCAGGTTCATTGGTAATGGCATTGACCTCATAGTCACAAGCAATCAGAGTGTTGATTCTAAAATGGTCTTTGCTTGTGGCCATCTCCCATTTCTTCAGCGGCACCTTGCAACGAGCAAGAACAATAGTGAGGATAAAACCATAAGGAGTGGCATGGGCCTTGGAGCCATTGATAACCCTATCAAGCAGCTTGATCATAAATCCAGGCCAATTGATCTTCCTTCCACTTTCAAGACACTCCATCAAAACCAAATCCATGTAGTTAGCAATGTGTCTTCTTTCCTGCCTAGGCAGCAACCACTTGACAAATTCAAACAGGACTTTGTGGCATGGCTTCATTTCACTCTTATACACTACCTTGGCTTCATTCACTTCTGTGACATCACAGAACTTCCTAGTGATGGCAAGGGCAATAGAAAGGGAGTCCAGACTTGGCCATTTTTGCCTAGTGTAGTTATCATACCCTTCAGAAGGAATGTCAAGGATTTCACCCAGCCTTTTTGCATCAAAAGACACTTGAACCCCTTTCACTTGGCTGGTAACTCTACCATCCTTGACCTCTGCATTGGCCATTAACTCAATAATCTCATCCCTTGCCAGCTTTCCATCCAACTGAAGGACCATGTCCTTCCATCCCTGAACAGCTAGAGCATCAACTAGTCGAACCATCCCTGGTTCCTCCAAATCCTTCAAAAGTCTACCCTTCAAGATGGTTCGTTTGCCAAACTTGGCCAGCTTGTCTTGTTCATTATCAGATTCACTCTCTTCTTCGCCACTCCAATCCTCCTCCTCCGTGATTTTAACTTGCTTGGCTTACACAACAGACCTCGTTCTTTTTAGCCAAAGAAGGTTCAGCAGTCTTAGATATAGATGAAGAATTCTTGGAAGAAGTCTTGGTCTTCTTGGGTTTAGGGGCTTGAACCTCCACAGTTATATGTTCATCCTTATGGACCGATTCCATCTCGTCCACATCAACAACCTCAACAGGCTCTGCAACCTTAGCTTTCCCTTTGTCCATTCTTTTCTTCTTGTTTTCTGCCATAACCTTTTGTAACTCATCCTCACTCTGCTTCAACTTACTCCTTGTGGCCCTTCCTTTTGGTAGAGGAATTTCAGTAGTTGATGGTGAAGTAGCCTTCCTTTTCTTGGTAGTTTTTGCAGTGTTGGGAGCTTTTGGTGTTGGGGTTCTCCTTTTCTTGGGGTTTTAGCTTGCACCCACTTTCTTCAGAAGGTCTGCTAGGGTCTCCTCAATAGATGAACCGGGTTCATCTGCATGTGAACTGAGATTGACCAGCCCTTCAGCAGCCTCCCCTGAACTACTTCCCCCTGTTTTCTTGCTACTCTCTACCACCTTTTCATGCTTAGCCCCACAGATAGCCGGTCTAACCATTTCAGAAGTGGGTGAGGAATCAGCCACTTCTTTCCCTTTTCCCCTCACATCACTACTCACACCCTCACTCTCCTTTTCTTTTCACTTTTATTTTCACCTCCTCTCCTTCTTGACTCAAGCGTTTCCACATTCATAACAGGCCCAACCAAAACAAAACGATTTCCCAAATTTTCAACTAGAACAGAACGTACCTCAGAAGGGGAATTTTGCGCTTTCTCAGAATCAGAAGACCAGTTCCTTCCCCCTCACTCGCAGGCTTGAAAGAATCATCAGAATTTTAAGAATCTTGGGCTTGACTAGCCTTTAATTTTGCGTTTAGTTTCTTTAAAAGAGCACCTGTAGTCACAGTTTTGTGAGCAAGCATCTTTACTCGCCTTCTCCTAGGTTGGAGAGTTTTGCTGGGTTGAGGAGTAGTGGAGGAATCGGAAGGGGTAGGTTGTGGAGGAGTGCCTGGGTTACCTTGGGGGTTGGTCATCTTTGCTAACTCTGGAAGAAAATTTTCTAATTGAGTTTTGGAAGAGAGAAGAGTAGAGAATGAAAGAAAATTAAAGGTTTTGAGAATTATGAGAGTGGCAGTGATGATGATGGTTTTTAAAGAGAGAAGGTTAATTAATGTCCAACGGCAGCTTTTTGTAGTCAATTAGAAGTCCAATCACTCTGAAATTTTCAGGTTGAAAAAGCGGTTAATCTTCCCTAGAATCTAGGCATTTTAATACGGTGAGGAGTCTTATAAAGACGGAACTGGTTCAAACTCAAAAGGATAGGTTTTTCTTAAGTTTTTGAACATAGGTAGGAGTCTGCTCATGAATTAAATATTAATATTTTTAATTGTGCAGAGTGTAGAAAGCATACCTCGTTATTTAGATGAAC